TTTTCCATGGTTGTTGACATGTTTAAAATAAAAATGTTTAAATGTAATATATTTTTCTCCTGGTCTTTATTTTAAATGGGTCATAAAAAATGTCAATAATTATTGATATCGCCTGATATGAAACACTCATATCGTGATACAGTTTTCAGTCATATCGCCCAGCCCTACCCCAGGGATCATAATAAGGTAAACTATGTGCATAATTCAGGTAAACACAACCTGCTGGCTGTCCACTGCCTGGGTAATCTGAGCAAGCTGGCGAACCATTAAATTAACATGGAGTCCTAGATGACTATGGTAGTTACCAACAGTCACACATCCTGAGCGAAAGAGGCAGCTTCCCTAAGGATAGTACTTATATAGACTGACTCAGTTATCTGTACAGCGTCTCACACAAAGATACTGTAACAATGTCCTCACAGTCCCTCTGGATTTTTTAAAATCTGCGCAAAAAGGTAAATTGAATTAGAATCACAGTTACATCAAAACAAATGCTTATTCCAACTCCCGTGACTGTATTAACTGGCATGTTTTTAAATTTTCCATATCACAACATGACATGGACTTCAGCTTTCAGTTCAAATTGCAGTAGGAAGCTTTCTGCAGTGCATTTGAACAAAGCACTTAAGCAAATGTCCATCGCTTCCTAACAGCTGGACTTAAGCTGAACAACCCTGGAAATACCCCACTGCATAAGTGGGCCCATATTGTAAATCACCTGCGATAAAAGTATCACTTCAAAAAACATTAATTTCACCAGACCAGACTGTTGAAGACATGTACACTTTGCAGTTCAGCTGAAATGACAATCAGAAATTAAACGGTACTATGGGTACTGAGTTACACCATTTATAACATGATTATTAATGCTGTTATTTATTCACAAAATGACCTATTAAATCAAACATCAACTTATGCCACTGCCCCCAAAACAAAATGTAATCCATTCTAAACGCCAAAGCAAGTATGTACACTTTCAACGCATCATTTATTTCGTTAAGAGGATAACATACAAAAAACACTGATAGAACAGTTCTGCGCTTACTTTTCTGGGCAAATGTCAGACTGACACAAAGCAGATTTTGATTAATAATTCTGCTCAAGTATGTGCTTATTCTATGGTCTGTATCGATATTGTTACTGCACTCCATTGCTACATAATGATAATGCAAGAGTCACTGTAAGTAACCCTAACAACAGTCGAGAGTGAAGTTATCAAGCTATTAAAAACAACACTGATTCAATGAAGACGATTTAATCTTAGAGATCTACATCTTCTATTAAATGTTAATGCACAATATCAACTTGTGTACAAATTTGCTTTTTTGAAAATGCCATTTTCTGTACCAACACACTAAACGCACAAAATCTGTAAGACTATATAAAGCAAATGTAAGAGAAAGATCTTGATAGAAACAAAATGCCTCCACCCTTCAAATGCTTATCCTAGTGATGTCACAGGACAAACACCATATGGTTACATTGGAAACAATGACAAATAAGCAAATACTATTTTTTCCACTCATCTTCAAAAAACATGCCTATTAACAGCAACTTAAAACTTCTAGAGTGAAGCATCAAGATATAATTACAGTATTTACTTTACAATATTAATACAAATATACCAGCCCCACAGCTTTGCACAGCCTTTGACAACATGCCTATCAGTAGTTATCACTCCAAACCCCTAAGAGATACCACACATCAGTAACAAAGTGGGCAGGATCGCTAACAGGGAGCGAGAAGGTTTGAGAAGGGCAGGGGTCTGCTGGAGGATGGATGATGTTCTCCCACCGTTAGGGTTCACCCAAGCTCACCGTGGTTCACAAGCGCAGAGGCTCACCTCGTTGTTTATGATGGTCCAGCCGCAGGAGGACTCAGTGTCGCTCGAGCTCTCTGACATCTTACCTCCAGCTGTTAATAAAACGTGAGCAGTCCTTTAAACCATAATCTGACAATACAAAATATGAGTCTTTTGGATTTGCTAGATACTTTCCCTTTATACCAAAATGAGCAAGCTAATCTATAATACTAAACCCACACATATCATAATCACGTGCCATATGAAGAGCCAAAATATTGTAAAACCCACATCTAACAGATAGTACCAAAAGTAGGCTAATTTTAATACATTTAACTTTCAACTGAAATCCAGAAAAATTATAACCTTTGTAGCTTATTAAACAATATAAATTGCACTTACTTAAATGCCATTACATATATTCCCAATTTAACGTCACTCGTTCCACATTATCTTTTTGGTTTTGTGGCGGTCTGTTTTTTACTGCTTGGTGCAACCCACTAAAGGAAACCAGATAGAGCACTGAATTACATCGGACGAGAACCACGTAGCGCAAAGACAAATACATACGCTTCTGAAATTGAGGGAGACCCATTCTGGTGTCCAAGCTGGCAGAATGTCAAATGTTTTATTATGAAATCTCCATATATAGTTGTTTACTGGGAATCCCGCGCCGTTGTTGCGTGGCCGCTCCGGCCTAAGTGGAACATCAGCTCGGAGCTTTCTCAATAATAACGAAACTGCAAATAGAAGCTAAACCCACGAAGTGTCATGGGGCCGAGTAAATAAGTAAGGCACTCAAGACCACATTGCAAATAAACCCAACAGCGGCGCTGTCATGATGCTGCACTGCAGCAAAGCGGGTGCGATTTTATCGGCAGAGAATCATAAGGCTAGCTAGACTTAGGCTAACCACATAGGAAACTTCGTCACCAACCCGAAGACACATATTTGTCTGTAGCCGCTAAAAGGTTACGTGCTTCGAAAATGCCTACCTTATGTTTTAATATATCCAGTGAAGAGTCCGAGGATGAATCAGTGAAATGTACAAAATAAACGAAATTCCCTTAATTAACCAAGGACGGAGCAGCGCTGTCACATCATTACAAACAACAAAACAAGACGGTTCGACAACATAATAAACTGAGAGCGGATGCAGGGATGCAAGGGAAATGTAGTTTTTTTCCTATCGCTAACTCCCAATAAACCCTCATACTTGTTGAGGAAAAACTACATATCCCATTTCTAAATAAAACATTATGCTCGGAAAATGGCACGTAACTTCGCCGTCCAATCAGATGCCGTTGCTAGGGTGAGGTAACCATAACGAAAATCGTGTATCGGAGGCATTTTCTATCGCATCGGAGTGAGGTAATGTACATGTATGACATATACATGACTTTGTCTTATAAAATAATCACTATTCTAAAGATTCACCAGCCCAAATGTATTATTATATAAACATCGATACGTATATACTATTATATTATTCTACAAACATAGAATAACGTTCTGTGTATAGTATAAATATATGCATAGTTACCCTATTGTGCTTTTATAATATGTGCGGGTAGAATTTCTTTTCTTTTTAATAGATGCCATGCAAGTGTTTGGTTGTAATTCTAAAACATCACTGATGTATAATAATTCTATATTAACGATTGCACCTTATTTTGTTTGCTGTGATTCCAGTGATCTTACCTTACTAGCCATCTTATTTGTTTGTTTTTCTCAAGTCCCAAAATACCTCACCAGCGATGTCGCGAGCAGTTAATTCGGGGACAAGTCACAGTGACCTAACGTCGTGTGCAAATCCTGGTAACCCTATATTTTCCTGCATGATGACAACAGTGCCAACTTCAACATCTGCGGGATTTTCGACCAAACTACAAAACCTTTTCTACAAGACCACATCCAGTAACTACGGAGCCCATCCTCCGGTGTATGAAACGGCACCCTGCACCTATCACCCATTATCACAGCAATTTTCCAGGGATCTCGGAAACTGTGGGATGTATCGCGATAATTCATTTAACACAAGTTTGGATAGTAGCAGGGTGTACGACTGCCCAAATTTACAACACACTCTCTAATAGCCACTAAAGATAGTACTGCTACGATGATCTCCATATACCGTTTGTTTCTTCTCAGTAGTTCTTCCGTTGTTCGTATTTGTGATATCAACTGAATTATACGTTACATTTAAAATGTATTCCTGGGTTGCATAATATTTAGCATTTTATTATTAACTGTTAGTGTTTAGAACATTTGTGACTGCTTAACATTGCTTATCCGTAACATGTCCCATTTTAATGCAACTGGTCGTGAGACTGTTTATTTCTTTATACAAATGTCCCACTTAAGAATAAATAAATAATTAAGTAAATACGAGACAAGTAAGTAAATGTAAGAAAGTACACGATATGGATATCTTTATTGGCAATCAATATGCTGATAACCAGCTATCTGCACAAAAAGTTATACATATATAGATAATGGCAGTAGAATGTTTTACACATGCAGAATAAACTCATTTTTATTTTGAGCCCCAATTACGCATGTATCACATTAAAGCTATTAAAGGACACCTGTGTGAACTGTAAGGTCTACATGTTCTTCTCGGGGGCCAAATGGTCAGGCATACTTCCTTGAATGAACTGCCGGATTTTTTCTGCATCAGACAGAACAGTTTGGTTGTAAGGGTCTATCTTGAGAGCCGCATCATAATCTTGAAGACCTAATAAATAAGATATGCAACGAGATGAAAATAAGTATGTGGGAAAATACACACACCTATATATATGCCTTTAGAATGTCAAATTCTGGGAATATCATGTAGGAGAAATGAGAGTAGAAGCTGGTTAACAAGTAGTCCGGTTCAGAGATTTCTCGGTATAATACAAACCTTCAGCATAGAGTTCCAGCTCACAGAAAGCCGTCCCCCGCCTCACATAGGCTTTCATTCTGGCGTCCGCATTGTCGGCAACTGCCGGCAACAATAAATCAAGCGCCTGTCAAAAAAAAATAAAAAATAAGTTTTAAATTGTACTCACTCTTATTTATGGTTAAAAGGGGAGCATGTACTCTTTCAAAGAGACCAAGAACTCACTTGAGAGGAATCTTCTATTGCTTTGTGCAGGTTTTTCAATTTAATGTGGCAAGCAGCTCGGTTTAAATATAGTGCAGGAATCTTCCTGTTCAGCTGTATGGCAAGGTTATAGGCATTGACGGCAGCGAGGTAGTTACCAGTCACAAACAATTTGCTAATAAAAAAAGAGAGAGGAGCAAAATAAGCCATAAGCATAATCATGTGCTTCATAGGTCGGCAGTGTCCGCCGTATACTCACTTTCCCTTCTCTTTCAGCCAGTCAGGGTTCCGCTCATCTTCCTTCAGGTCATTCAGTGCTGATACATCTGTACTCGTTTGTCTCCTGGCGTCAGCTTGCTTTTTAAGCCACTGTCAAACACAACCAGATGTAGTGAATGAAAACCACGAGAAGAGTATCCCTCAACAAACGCTCGACAGTAAAAAGATTTGGCTACTACAATAGTAGCATTCTGTATTTTGAAAGTTGATACGTGGCAGTAATATTTTCCTATAATTTGACTGTTCACGCAACACCTATAAGCACGATTACTTTTAATCGTAGCAGCGGACCAAAATAGCTCATTATTGGCACCAAAGCAAATGCATTACTTCCTCTTCCTCTGGTACTCTGGATTCTCGCAGGGCTGTTGGAAATACTCGTGGGGTGAACTGAATTTTGATAGTGCAAGGGGACCTTGGAGCAGGCAAGGGTGCCAGGTTTTTCTTGTCACAATCTTTTCGCTGGTCTGCATGATAAAAGAAAATAGGCTTTTGTGTACATAAAGACCTAAAAATAAAGATGTCAAACCAAAACAGTGTCTGTTTTAACAGATTTTGATGAGGATATTACATTTAGCGGTGCCTGTATTTTTCGTAGGTGATAACTGGGACGTATAGCTGAGCTGTATCTTCTGCTCTTGCGTTTGCCTGTTTTTGCGAGCTTCTTCCTTTTCAGCCTCCCGCTTTTGTTGCAGTTTCCAAGCCTCCAGCTCTGCTGTAGCCCTCTCACGTTCATCTGCTTTTAATTTCTCAATGTTGTTCCTCTGCCCCTCCTCTATCTGAAGCAATGTAAAATAGGCATATTTGAGTGTTAAATGGGCAAATGGCACAAGTGCCTTCCCACAAAAACAACAATAGATGCCAATGGCATAATTGCACTGCACCTTCATCATCTTCTCCAACGTGTATTTGTTTTCTTCTTGTTTTTTCTCAGCCCTGGTTTTTGAGTCTGCTGCTGACTTTTCCTGAGCTTTAAGCACAGCTCTTTCTCTGATTGATTTTAATATCTCTTTGTCAGCTAAGACGAACAGGAAGAATTATTAATATTGATATAAGTTCATTTTAAAAGCATAATGTTTGACATAGGCCTTTGTATAACCAAATCGCTCATCACTGGTAGCACCGCACCGTCGTCTATTGTAAGTTGTTCCCACATCCTGTCCTCCTTTTTGCGCAACGTCAATACCGCTACACCATTTCCAATCTTTGCGACGCTTGTGTCATCGTCTATAGCTTCAGAGAAAAAGACTTCTAACAGAAAAGGAGGAAAATGTACCTGAAACAGGCGGAGACATGGTTATGACAAATCATCAGTTGGAGTTGGAAATACATGGTAAAATATTGCATCAGCGTTTCGACTTTGCCAGATAGACGTTATTGTTGCTGCGAGCTCGAGTGAATAACTATTGCAAACGCAATGGGATTCTACCTTAAGATATTCGTCTGTGGCGAACACATCCACCTTCCTAGGGTTTGCTCTCTTAAGCGGGATGGTTAAGCATATTGAAGACGGTGTCTGAGTCCACGAGTAATCCTTAACAAGCAAAGGCATTTTTGTTCATTCAGTTGCCATCAAACATTTAATGAGCGAGTCGTAATGTCGGTTACTATAGACGCCTGAGTGGTTGCTGGGGGGCGGAGCGCGTGGCCTTTTTCCGGGGATGCATGCAGCCCTTTCCTCCTTCCGGTTTCTGTAATGATTTTTTCAAAGGGGCAGGTCGCGATGAAATCATAGGTCGAACACCAAACATCAAAATATTTTGTTAGCTATGATAATTTGATTAAACAACAGCATATGGCTGGCAAAAAACAATCAAAACGAACGAAACGTTTAAAAGATTTATTCATCATAATACTTCATGCAGTATAGAGCAAAGTTTTGAGAACTTTACACTACGTAAGAAGTATTGAATTACCGTAACGTATTTTTGCCCAGTGCTTAATTTACTTGTCATTGCATTCAAATATTTGAACGAACTACTAGACTGTGACCCTTTGATTTTTTTTTTTTTAAATCACTATTTCTCGTAATAATCTGCTGGTCAAACCTCGCAGCACGTAACTTCTATCAGATTTTGCTATAATCTTTTACAAGCATTTAGGTAATAACAACTGCAGTCATTAGAACTTAAACACTAGATGTGCCTTTGTGATACTTCAAAAAACACTGTCTATACATTTAATAAAAATCACATCACGTTGCATATAACAGAAAAAAAAACTCTTTAAAATGTTGTACAATAGATGCACATTCAACGCTTGTAATGAGAAAATGTGCACATTCCTACGAAGCATTTCTCGAATGACAAATCGAAACCTTACAATTAACAGAAACGCAGCAGGTGAAATGCATATCATCACATGTAGGTGTAGAAAATGCAAAAGACCTGCCGAGTCCACACTGAACCCACATGTTTCAGTTGTGACTAAACACATTTAAGGCATCTGGTGTCAACAGTCATATAGCATTAAATGTAGATGTGCATAAGACCATCTTCTATTTTAATATCTATAAATTAGATGGGTGCGGAGAGTGCATTATATTAAAACAACATTTGCAACATTTTGAACAGATTCCGCTATACAATAATGGAGCATGTTAGAAATCACCTCCTCACAAAACATCATTCTCAGCTATTGAAGAAGAGTGTAAAAGAAAATGTTAAAAACCTTAAATTCAAAGAATCCTCTTAAATCTTGACATTCAATTAAGTTCAACTGGGCTGAACTGAATCCTTATTCTGTCATTTTTATATTCCTTACTAATTCAAGTGAAATCTGATTTAAATGTGTAAGATACAAAGAAAAACCCTTTTTGGCATTCACAAATACCATATTAGGAGCAAAAGAATGTTGTAATAAGTGTTTGATATGTGGTAACAGTACATAAGATATGTGAACAGTAATATTTAGAAGTTGAAAACATTGTGTGCCTTATAGAAAAAAACTAGTCAAATTCAACAGCATTAAAGCTACTTAGTCAATAGCCAGATGACAGATCATTATCCACTTCAAACAAAAAAAAAAAAAGTGTAGAATATGCCAGTCCCACCCTGCTGGGAGTTTAAGTATCACTATTAGACTGGATGTAGCTGCTAATGTGACCTACACCTGGTGCACCACCATTTAGCTGCAAAGCAGCCTCACCACTTGATAATTTATCAGCAATCGTCATTTTAGGAATACCAAATATGGTATGCCTTATTGCACAACCACACATAGGCAACTTGCTGGTATCTGGCAGGCCAACATACTATAACTTACTCATAATTATTAAAAATACTTGCCACAGCTCTTTCAAAAAATATAACAGATTTACAAAGCCTAACTTCTGTGTTGTGTAAATAATCTAAACAAATTATACTCCATTCCAAATGGTACCAGTCATGTTATTTTGTTTTAGAATGATGCAAATAAGATTTCACCTTGAAAATGGTCACCTCTCTGTATGTATTTGTGGCCATGAATGACTAATGAAGACTTGCAAATTTAGCAAAAACCTCTGCTCAGGTCTGGAAGCTTTCTGCATAACTATATCACCACCTTTTCTGCAATATTAAAACACTGCACCAACAAAGAATTACTTACACAGGAATGACTAGTACAATTTAATAATGTAAAAGGAGAGACAAAGATAACTTTGCAGTCAGAATAGGAGGATCGCACTTACTGCAGGATGCCACAATATAGATTGAAATTATTATTTATAAATGTGTAAAGAACAACAATGACAGGTTAACGGCAAATGCAAAACTTTTTAAAACTTTCAGTAACACTTTACTTAAGGCCATGTTTTTAGTAATTTATAAAACACATTGATAATGCATTATAATGAATTTATAAAGCATAAACATGGCTATAAATATTAAAAGATAACACATTATAGCCATGTTTATTATGCATTATGAATTCTTAATGAAGCATCCATCCATAATGCACTATAGATGACTTTTTTTATGTGTTTAGAAATGAATAAAATCATGGCTTTAAGTGTTACCAAACTTTCAAAATATTTTCATCCTCTGTATTTTTAGAAACGGTCAGAGGATTGACCAAGCTGACACACACACACACACACACACACACACACACACACACACAAATTCACTGTTATGAAAAGCTATGGAGACCCTCCCTCTCACACAACAGTAATCCTTACTGTTAACATTACGCCACTATTCCAGTCATTGTCATTTACCGGATAACAGAATTCTCCATTAGGAAGAGCATGTAAGCGGTTATCCATTGCAGGAAAGAACAGATCACTGTCTGGTATTTTCAGTATTGTGATAATGCAAAACCCTCTAAATTGTAAATGACAACTCACTAAAAAGAAGAATTTCAGAAGAATAAATCTGATACAAAATAAATACAAACACATTGTTAAATTAGGGGAAGCCGAGACAGTAATTAAACATCACACAGTAACTAATTGTGTTTACCTCCTTAGATGTCTGCATAAAAATGGCCATCTACCTTCATTATGCACTACAGAACCACATTGAAAACATCCATAAGGGGTTAGTGTAAAATATTAGACCAGAGACTGATTCCAAAGCAAACTCTAACAGCATAAAGAAAGATAGTCATTCTGCCGAGACTTTAACGGGGGGGAAGTTACACTTTGCCACTAAGACAAACCTAGAAGTAAAAACAGGCCGTATCATAAAGGAGAGACAGACTCTAAGAGAGACTGCAAGTGGAATTCCTGACTAAACGAGTGTGCTCACCACCGGGGAAAGAACCGTAAAACCAAGGAAGAATGCAAGAATAAGAAAAATGCAACATTAATTAAGAAAATAAGAGCAAGATAGGCAGAAGGAATTCAAGCAAAGAGGAAAGTAGGGCCAGTCTTCAGTGGGGCCCGTTACCCCTCACTAGTGACCGCAGGCGGAGCGGCCAGGTCCCTGGTTCTCAGGAGCTGTGCCCCCTTGTCCTCCATACAAACGTCACAGCCCCACACGGCCGAGGCCTCTGCCGTCAGCAGGTTGTACGCCGTCTCAGTCATTCCCGTGCAAATCCTGTGGAACCACTTTTGGCACGAGGCTTCGCACATGATGGCTTCCTGGTCATCGTTCACTTCGTTCAGGCAGATCCCGCACGGGTAGATGGGGTCCGCGGAGCAGGGGCCCGGCCTGCTGGGTTTCACCACGGTCTTGTTGCCGCCGCCCCCCCCACTGCCGTGTCGCTTCCGGCCCGCCCGGGGGGGCACATCTTTGGGGCCACATGGCTGGGGGGAGTTTTTCAAGGCATCAGCGCTGGGGGAGATGATGCCGTTGAGCTTATCTATGGCGTGAGGGTGGGCTGGTTCCTGGCAGACGGGGGCGTTTCTGCCCTTTGCCTTCAGGTCGGGGGCTGCCTCGTGACAGGATCTCTCCTCTAAAATAGGGCCCTGTTTCTGGGGGGAGCTGCCGTGAGACACGCCCCTGCCTGCGGCCTCGCCCAGCTCCTGTTTGGGCACAGGAGGCTCAGGCTGCTGGTTGCTCTGCTGCAGCGCGAAGCCCGCTCTGGGGTCCACACAGGTCCGCATGGCCACGTTCACACCAACACTGCCCTCTGGGCCAAACGCGGGGCCGTCGCAATTTGTGCCTCGGTTCAGCATCTGGGGGGGCCCCTGGCTGAAGGCGTCTCCGTGACTGGCTCTGTAGGGCTGACTGCGAGCCAGGGGAACACCGGTATTAAACCCCGGCTGATTCCCGTAAGCGGTGCTCTCAGGGTGCGGGTAGCCGAATCCCGGCGCCCTGACAAACCCCATGCCCATCTGGTTCTGAGCAAATGGGTGCAGCTGACTTCGCACCTGGTAAGGACCCCCATAAGGAGAGGGGACGCGGGGAGGCACGTGGGGGGGCATCCTGTGGGGGGCGTAGCTGCTCAAGCCCGGGTAATGCGAGTGGCCGGGATACGCGTTTCCGGAAGGCAGTGGCTTGAACGACGGCGCATTGTAGCTGTCGTCAAAGGGGTTGGAAGCCACCAGGTGGTCCGCACTTGGGTTAGGGGGTGGGGCATATTCAGAGAGGGGGGGGAACGAGGCCGGCTGCAGAGGTGGAAAAACATAACCCGAATCAGCAAAGAAAAGAATTGCTCATCTCTAATAAAGCCCTAGTATGTTAAGACCTTGCCATCTGCTGTACGCTAACTCCACTTTCAAGGAGCATGGTGTTTACTATGTGATACCTTTAAAATTTTAATATGCGCTGAATGTACATCAGGAAAAAAAAAAGATAAGAAAAATGAGTTACCTCTCCCTACTCTGATATTTGCAAATACTGAAACGCTAGAAATTCAAGGTGCATCACAGCAAACAGTAAACTCAGTTGCAGCTACCTGAGTGTTTGACTTGCGCTTTTTCTTATCTGGGCTCGCCAGTAGTACACCCGGCCCTGCTAAACCATCCAGCCCACCGTCTCCACCTGCAAAATCATATCCCAACGCATGTTAGAGATCCAGCCCGCAAGCGCCGCCAACTGCTACACCTTCCCCGGCGAACAACGCAGTCCAGCGCCGCCGAGCATCCGTGTTTGGCGTAGCGTTGAAATATGCAATATCTGCCCGATCTCATAAAAATAACATCAAAACCATTAAACCATTTAAGACGAGCTTATTATTAGAAAGGCGATCATTAAATCGACCGGTTTGTTCCGACCAAACGGTGGTAAACTTTGTTTTTCTAAGTTCGGCCCAAATTTATGTTTATAAATTCGGCATCGCGACAGTTTTAACTTTACGAATTCCAGAACATCGCAATTCGATCATTTTTAATCTAAAGCTTCGAAATACAAAACATGAGTAATAACTTTTCTATTGAAAATCTGCCTGCTTCGGTTATTCGTCACGAAGTTAGTATCGATCTTAAACATTATTTCATTGCATAAACTCGACGAACGGGACGAGAAAAAAATAACTCTCAATACGTTTGACGGAATTATACTGCAACTGTAACAATAACACTTCCGACTGGAAAAAGGGTCAACTTGTAGCCTCCCGCCCGCAAATTCACTTTAATTACAGCTACCGACGGCTATAAAAACGTCAAGGAGCCGCAGTAAAAGTTCACGGCACTTTCCAGCGCCACTGCGCACATTCCGGCGTGCAAAAACAAGGCGGACCGCTTCGGCGCGGCCAGATAGCTAAACGCACCCGAGGCACGGCGTGCGCCGTCCCCCCTTCCTGATCCCCCTAAAGCCCGCTGAATGAACCATTTACAGAGTTTCATTCAATTCTTCAAAGGCCTCGATGTAGGCCGACGAGCTCCTTCGCTGTCGTAATTACGGCCGGGACTTGCGTACGAACCTACCGTACCCCCTAGACACCGACACGGCGACGCACCAGCGATCGGAAAAAAGAAGAAGAAGAAGAGGAGGAGGAAGAAGGGGGGACGAAACGGGAAAAAATACCTCTGTTTCTTTTGAGAGACAGCGCGTCTTTATCCTGCTCTGTTGACATCACGGAGTCCCTTGCATGACTCGGAGCGGGGGGGGGGGGGGGCAATGTAATGTGTGCTGTTATTGCATTAAACTGGTCGGCCGGAGGGTAAAGTGCGCCTGTCTTCACCCTTCGCGGTGATCGCGTGCGGAGGGGAAGCAGCAAAGGACTCGCAAAGTTTGGGAGGAGCGGACGGACTGAACTGGGCGATATAAAGCGGCACGTGGCGCAAGCGGCGGGGAGCCGGGCTGGCGGAGGGCCGCTTATCTCCGGGCCGAACGGCCGACGCCGCTAAAGCGCCGCGATCTGCCCGCCCACCCAAAATGGGTATTAATGTGACGATGTGGAAACCCCTGCACATTAGCGTGTGAGTGTGTCTGCTGCGCCTCGTCTGATGTAGCGCCGCACTGAGCCGCTGATGTAACGTTGCGACCGCAGGCTGCTCCTCTCTTCTACCGGTTGTCTCTGATCCTTATTCTGCTGCTGAAACGTTTGATCCCGTCTGAGTTTTTTTTCTTCACTGCTGAGAACGTATGTTGTTTGGGACGTCTGGAAATAATGAGAAAATTATCGCTTTAAGTGTTTTGCATTATCGAAAGTGGACAAGATGTGTATGAAAGAAATTAATGTACATACACAAAATTTTACTCAAAGGCAGAGTTTCGTTTTATAATTTGCCGTAGTCCTACTCATCGTTTTGTTACTATCGGGACAGTTTTACCACTAATATAGGCTAATTAGTGATACAGTGGGCCCTTGACTTACGAATTCATCCTACGCTCTGCATTCAGAGTAGGTGGTTACAGGCCAGCCCGAACAGGGACCCCTAACAAGGCAAACGTAATACAGAATCAGTTTTTAATCTCTATTACACTGTTATACTAACAAGGCAAACCTAATACAGAATCAGGTTTTAATCGCAATTACACTATTATACTAGGAAGGCAAACGTAATAAAGAATCAGGTTTTAATCTCTATTACACTATTATACTAACAAGGCAAGCGTAATACAGAATCAGGTTTTAATCGCAATTATACTAAGAAGGCAAACGTAATACAGAATCAGTTTTTAATCTCTATTACACTATTATACTTGCAAGGCAAACGTAATACAGAATCAAGTCTTAATCACTATTGCACGTAATGATTAAGAGCTGCATCCAGGGGCATTGCTAGAGATTTTGGGTCCCAAGAAAACATATCATAGTGGCCCCCCAGTCCACACCAATCTACTTATTTTCCAAATTTCCTATGCCTCCTGTCACTCAGGGACCTCTTGGAATCGCCTTATGGCGCTCCTGGCAGCACTACTATCCAATGCAGCCAGGGTTAATATTCTGGTGCTGGAGAGTGCCCGGAAGAGGAACACTTAGGTGAGTGAAGTCTTGCATCGACCTTGGGCTCTGACAGGCCTCGTCTGTCATTCATCACATAGATGGACATTCTACTTTATACAGTCAAGTCAAACGCACTGCTACAAAATTTGGTATCACTGAATATGTTACATGGATTTTTTTAATCGGTTGACTGTTGGTCTACATGTAACAGCAGTGGTTTGAGTGTTAAGTATTGTTTATGACTCTTGTTTTGGCTAGCAATTTAAAGCATATTCATTTATACATATTTTCATTGTCCAAAAGTGAATGTCTTAGGTAAGCACTTTATCGCAATATGTGTGCCATGTGTATGCCTTGTAAATGACAAATTAAAAGCGTGTCTTATCTGCCAGTTGAGTGTGCTGTTTCTATAATGCGGCAGTACTCGTATATTTAAAAATTGGTATTTCTTCCCGTCAGCACAGTAAATATACTCTTTGAATACACCTCCTTGTAGAATAAATGTGCAGATTAAAAGTGTATCCATTTACGCAGACAAATGGCATATACAACTGGTGTGAAATCTTATCCGCTGTTTCAAACACAAAATCCATTCATTCATGTTCAGGGGCAGATTCAGCAAGCGCAGCATTTTATTGGGGCCCCTGAATATGAAACATGATATTTTATAAGCTCAGCAAATTTTATCCCGCCCACTTAGTAAATTCAATCTACCGTGGGAACTGATATTTCTTCAGGTTGCAAAGAGGCACTCCAAGGTCACATTACATCAGTAGGCTCAGGTCTAACTATGCTCCGGTCCATCTTCCAACTACTCTCATGATTCTATACATGTTTATGTACTTTAACATTTGCACAATGATAAAATAAATGTGAAATTTGCCTGATAAGATTCCATCACTAAGTATCTGTAAATCAATGTTTTAAAGGCACCACCGTGCTTCAGTTAGCGTAGTTGTCTCACTGATTCGGCCATTAATGGTGAAACGTCATTTTGTTGTAGCGCAGCTTATTACAGCAGAGGGCGCTGCTCTCTACATTACATAAGCAGCCTTTGTGGGGTAATGGGGCTGCATTTCCTATCTGAATTTGCGTTCGGTCGTCTGCTAGAACACGCCGTGCGCGTCAAGATTGCTCAGCTGCTGTAGGTACAAGGCGGGCAGTCAGCCAGTAATGGATAGTGAATATATGCTGATTTTTTTTTTTTAAAGTTTAAAAGCAGGAGTAGAATAAAAATGAAGCAATGAATAATGGATTGTGTGGAACAGATGTTTCTATAAAACAATTCAAGGCGGAGTTATGAATATTGAGTTCCTGGTAACAATGATTCTTACACTACTAGGAGGAAAAGCTCAGTACTAAGAGAACGTTTTAAAATGAAAAGTAGAATTTTAATATATATATTTTTAAAAAACTTCATGATTATCTCCTCAGAAGAAACGAGTGAATGTTTTTATTACTGTTGAATATATGTATGTAATCTCACAACACAATGTGGTTCTTCTAAAAGATGACTGTGGATGGGTGCAGCAGTAGTTTTCAGTGTTCAGTACCACCCAAAAGACGGATTTTGGCTACAATCACTACACTGACTCGGAATTCCAGACCACAAACTCACCCCTGGATGGGCGAAACATTCAAACAACATAGGACAAGAAATCTCATAACAAAAGAAAAATGCACTTACCCCAAATCAAAAATGGGGTCGTTACAAAAAAAAAAAAAAAAAACTACAAACATGCTCTTTGCAGAACCCATAAAAATCACAAAAACCCACTGCATCTTTCATGAAAATTTTTATTTAATCTAAGCAATTGATTATTTTCACAATTTATGTGAGCTTACAAAATCACTTTTTGGCATTTAGGTATATTTGTATAGCATTTTTGGCATAAGCATTTATGTTGTAGCAGAGACAAGAATCTTGGACACCGACAAAAATATAAACGTTATGAATAAAGCAGAAATACGCAAAATAATAAGTACAAGACATACATTCAACATTGGAGGCTCAGGCCAGCCCTCCTCTAGCAGTGGTGTGGGGGCTGCAGACCCCCTGAGCTTAACTGTATTTGCTGCCCACAGCCCCACACAACGGCCGGGTCGGTGCTGAACGTCCGGCGGCAGCCATGCATCGCCTGGCCGGGCCTCCAGCCCAGTCCCTTTCACATTCAGAAAAGAACAAGCTTAACGTAACTGAATATTCCTAATAATGCTGAAAAATTGCACAGGATAAGGTCCTAACAGGTCCGTCTCCTGTATAACACCAGCTGTTGGAGTGTTCGATCCCTCAATGCTCTGTGAAACCCAGAGCTGGGATCTTGCTGCAAACACTCACAATACATTCTTGGACATTCATTATAAGAACTCTACAACTGTAGCAGAGGTAATCCTTTACATTTATTTCATGGTTTGAAATGTTGCAGGAAATTTTAATTTCACAGCAAGAATAAAAGCAAAGGAGTATCTTTGCTAGGCCTGCAGAGTCTCAAGTTGAGAGGTTACCTGGAAATTGCCTGAATAAAAATTACAATTTTCTGAAACTATTTCAGAGCTGGATTCCAGTCACTGAATGGTAACAAGATGTTCAAATTACACAAGGGGGGACAGAAAGACCCAGATCACATGATAATGACAGAGTAACAGCTTCCCAAGTTAATGCTCCTATACAACATTTTAAAAGACAGTTGCACTTTAAAAAATATTTTAGGCATCTCAAGGCAAAACCTAAATTCAGTCACTGCTTTTTTTCCTGAACACTGGGGTGTATATTTTGCCCCTTTAATGTAATAGAGTAAAATGCATTTCTCCTCCAGTGAGAAATGATAAAAAATACCATTATAGAAATATCTGCTTCTGTTTGCATAAATGTTTTACAAATAAATGTTTTAAAAGCACTGACGGTGAACCACTTCCATCTTGGCTTGTGGTTTTAAAGACACCTGATATTAGGGATAAAAACAAACAAGGGAAAAAAACATTTAAACATCATGCAAAGATAGGAGCATGTTGCTTTCTAGGTGATTTGCAATGGTAACCGAAAAATCTTTGGTATATATTCTTTGCACTCCAAATAAAACAAAAATGATTGTGTTACTTCAACGCCCAATCCTTAGAGTCTCATCATCAAAAATATTATCGTAACATCATCTTGGGAAGTACTGTAGCTAAATCTTGATCTAGCAGTACTTAGATTGTTGGATAATATTTAGACGATGAACATCATAAGAACTTTCCCATGAGATTGAACCCCCCATATCCCTCAATGTTATGCACAGAGGAAAGGGAACTTGAGTTTGAGAAGGCGTTTTTCTACTCTATATACAGCATGTCCACTGTGGAAAGCTGCACTGACCATCTCTGATCCACCACTTTATCCTCAGGACCAGTACAGTCAACCGAAATCAACCGAGGAGGCAAACAATTCTTTGGGGAAAAGCGTCGATTACCACTGTGTACAAGCTAAAATTTCTACAACTCAAAAAAAATCACAAGCTGAAAGTTAACTACGAAACTAAACATTTGTACTCAGTAGTACAAAGCAGCCAGCAAAAATATATCTTTGAAGATTAAAGGGTTTTTTTGGTGAATAGTTCATTTCATTGGTTCTTCAACACTCTCTCTACCTATCTTCCTCTCCCATGTCTTAAAAAGGTCCACACAGTTAAATGACTTTGGTATTCATGACTTATTCCATCCCTGACATCTGGAGGACCTTTTTCAGCAATAAGGCCATTTTTAAAGCTTTTAAAAGTTTGTTGTACTGTGCATAACAGCACAAACAT